TGTACTATTTGACTTTAAAAATGCAGCATCTCTTTTAAATAGACAGGGTTCTTTACATTCACGATCTTTACGAAGACGGTGTATGTTTTACGATCTCCAGAAGAAACCTGCAGGTGGCCGGCTTCTTCGCTGGTGAGGCACCATGTATTTCCCTGGAAAAGCAGACTTTACATCTTCAGAGAGAGCCGGCTCTCTTGTTGTACCAAAGCGCTACACGCCGCGCGGCTGGCGGGCTGCGGGCGCGGCTGGCGGGCTGCGGGCGCGGCAGAGGGCAGCTCCCGGCCCCGCTGAGGCGCGGCGGGCAGGCGGCGGCAGCTCGGACCCTGCCCGCCCGCCTCCTACCTCCGCCGGCAGCCTTGGGGAGCACGGCCCGGCGGCGCTGGCCAAGGGTTCCTCCCGCCACCGCCGGCCGTCTCTCGAGCTCGGCCGAAGCCCCGACGGGGCGACCCAGGGAGGCAGCAGCGGGCATGGCCGGGGCGGTGGAAGACCCGGAGCCTTGGCGGGGCGGAACGATTAGAGCTGAGAAGCCCTCGACGGGCGTCGCCCAGCGTCCTCCCCCGCTCCGGACCTCCGGGGGCGGCAGCGGTGCCGCCTCCGCGGTGCGGATCGTCGCTGCCCCCGCGTGTCCCGCCGCCGCCGCAGGGCGCCTCGCCTGGGGCAGATCCGCGCCCCCTTCCCCTGCCCCCTTCGCCCTCGTTATTTCCCCTTGTCCCGACAAAGCCGAGAGGAGCCTCGAACGCGGTATGGTGAGGTCCTTATGTGCACGGCCCGGTCGGGCCCTGGAAAAGGGTCACGGCGGGGACCTGCGATCCCCCCTCACCCCATTGCTGAAGCTCCGAGGAAAGAACCCCCCCAGCCTGGAAGGCGCCGGCTCCTCCCTGCAGAGCCTTCCCGAGAAAAGCAGGGATCCGAGAAGAGGAAAAGCATATTTATCGGATTGGCATATTTTTCTCTCTTAACAGCACTTCTTCCTAATGATATTTACTTAACTGCGTTTGACAGCAGTTAAGAACACGTCTCCTGTAAACAGGATCTATTCTCCTTCTGCCTACAACTGCCTGTCAGCTGCAAAGCCAATCGCAGTAATAACCGCTGGATCATTTTAAATGTGGCTAAACCTACGTTGGACAAAATCAATCTGCCATTTGTTGGCTCGGAAGGAAATCACTCGCACAGTTTGACGAATTGCTTGCAATACCCTTCAGCAATTCTCAATCGCATCGCTGTGCCCCTTCCTCGCAGCCCTTCTCCTCTCTGCTCCCTAGGTTCGGCGGTTTTTTTTTTTACCCTTTCGCTTGGACTTCAGGTAATCTGAAATGGCATTGACCCTTCTCATCCTTCCGATTACCTTTCTGAAGCATGAACGTGGTATAAAATCACACATCAGAAAATTCACTATAATTATTTTGCAATGCCATCAGCACAGATCCATCAAGAAGGAAACCCAGTAGTGGAATGCTCCTCGCAGCCACATGAGCGGCCAGTCCCGTCCCGCCTGAGTGACAGCTTTGGTAATTAAGTGATTGTAGAGACCTCCCCAACTGTTCTAACAACCTTGTCAGGGCCTGTCTGCGGACAGAACAAGCTGAAATCAATGTGCTTTTTGCTCCCTGAGCATTTCTGATCTTGTCCTCAGCCTGCATCAGGGAAAGCATTTGACAAAAGAAAAACAGTAGCACTAAACGTTGAGATTAATTTTTTGGAACAGAAAGTTAACTTTCTTCGATTTTTTTTTTTTTTTTTCCTTTGGAACGGGAAAGGCGGAAGGCAACGGAGATCCGCTGCTCGGGCGGCGGGGCTGGCTGGCCGGGACGAGCAGACCGTGGCTGCGCTCGCTCCGCGCCTGGCACCTCGCTGCTCCGCGCCGTTTTGTTCCCGCTGGGAAACGTTCTGTAGCGTCTCTTGCAACGGCCCCAATTACTCCGAGGTACAATATATTTTCGCCTGGATTAGACGGCGAGTCTGTTGGCACAGTGTAAATGTCAAGCAGCAGCTTTTAATAAAGGGATGTTCAGACTGTTAAATTTCACAGTACAACGGGCTCGGCCCCTCCCGGCCCCCTCCAGCCCCCCCTCCCTCCGAGCTGCGGTGCTGCCAGTGAGCCAACACGACTGCGCACCAAAATCTGAGTGGGAAGTAACCCATCCCGAGGCTGAAATGCTGCGCTCTGCTATCCCCGAGCTGCTTGGCGGAGGGACCCCCCAGATCCCCGCACCGTGCTCCTCGGGATCGCCGTCGGTGGGGCGGGGGCTTCTCGTTGGGGGCCAAGGTGGCAGTTGCTGGACCCCATTGGCCGGAGATTGAGGCCGGTCCGCGGTGCCTGGGCTGGGACCGCCCCCCCGGAAGGGACCGGTTGTCGAACCGGCACATGATAGCCCGTCCCTGCCGCTCGCTGCTCCCGGCTTCAATCGGGCCATTGATTAGCGCTCTAAGTGCCGCTCTAATTAGCTGCCTACTAATTAACGAGCGGCGCCCCGTCCGAGTTCTCTGAGTGGCACCTTCGCTCATCGTTTTGATTCGGCTGTTGCTGATTTATTGGGACGGGGAGCTCCGTGGCTTTGCCCGCAGTCAGACGGGTGGGATAGATGGGAAAGGGGGGGTCATCCAGCCAGAGGCTGAGGGGACACGGGGCAGCAGCTGTCAGCGTCCACCCTGGCCTCAACAAGTACAAGGAGCGTCCCGCTGGTCTCCTCGCCCCCCGAGGGTGCAGGCAGGAGGTGGAGGGCGTTTTGCGTGAGATGTCCCCGCGTAGGGCTGATCACGCTCTGGGAATCCGAACCGGCCGGCGGTGCCCGCGGAGGAGCAGGACAGGCCGAGGCTGCCCGCGCTCCGGGCTCTGCCCCGGGCGGGGAAGGGCCTTGCGCTGCTTTCCCCCAGAATATTTCTACACAATGGAATCGAGGATTAAAAAATAAGACGAAGGAAATGAAAGGTGTTCACTCTTCAAGAACATGACTTTAAGCCCTAAATCCCGATTCCGGGACGGGGAGGTGTATTGTGAGTTAAAGGATTATGCTAGTGTAACATATTACCCCGAATCCTGCATTCCCCCCGGGATAATTAGGACATAGTTTGGGCAAATTGCAAACCAAGACAGCAGGATAAATACAGCCGCCGCGGGCTGCTTCCCTGCTGCAGAAAATCTGCCTGGGCATTTGTAGATATTTAAGTGTTTTTCCCTTTCTCCTGTTCTTTCATTTTACTCCTCAGTTTTCCTCCTTCCCTTTTTCCTCAGTTCCCTTTTCTTCTCCTCGTTCCTCCAAAGGCCTCGATCTGTAGGGACGTGCTGGCAGGTCACCCCGCCGTGCTGCCAACCCAGTTCGCACTGAGGTTGCGGCTCCCGCGCTGCCTCCGGCCTCGTCCGCGCTGGGCGCCCGTCGGGGACAACGGGGGCGGCCGCCACCGCCGCCCAGCGGACACGGGCGGCCCTGCACCTCATTCGGGCCCGCCGCCTCTGCTCCCTCACCGGCCTCCGGGCGCAGCACCGGTGCCTAAAGCCCGGCGGCAAACCGTACTGCTGGCTTCCCCCGGCTGCCCGCGGGGCGGCTGACAGCCGTGTGGAGCCGTCGGGACGGAGCGGACGATGCTCGGTAGCAACGGGCTGCCCGCGGGCAGGCTTCCCTGCCGTCGAAAAACTTCTTCCGAAGTGCGGCAGTGGGGCCGGGACCTGTCCCGCCGCACTACCTTTCGAGTGTGGCACCGGTGACTGGTGAATCCCAGGGAAGCACCGCGATTTATACCAGCGAGGACCCAGAAGCTCCTCGCCCCCCTCCATACGAGGGAAGGCCGGCCCCAAGCCGTCGGAAGAGGAGCCGAAGGCCACGGCACTCTCCGCGTTGGCATCTCTCGTGTCGGGGCGCAGCTTCTCATCCCACACCGCTGTCCCGGGGCTGCGGCATCTCACGTCAGATCCAAACAGTCGCAACGAGTTACCAGCTGGACACTGTCTCTCGCTCCCGTTGAGCTCCCCAAGCGCTCCCCGCACTTCTCTGCAGCTCTGAGCGGGACGGCTTCCCCAGAAAACAAAACGCGGTGGGAAACGGGGTGGAGGCGCACCCGCGCTGCCACCACATCCGCATGGCACTGTGCAGGGCCGGACGGGGCACTCCCGGTACGGGGCAGGCAGAACGATGAGGGGGTTAGAAAAGACCCTCGCGTCCCCACTCCCCATTCCTCACTCCAGGCTGGCGGGGGGCTCCCATCACCGGGGCAGCCTCTGTATGCGGGGCGGAAATGCCAGTGTGACCCTACACCTAAGGTAGCCCCTAGTGCCCTCGCTGAACACCAGCACCCGAAAAATGCCTCTTGGGCTCATCCTGCCCTAATCTTTCCCTACGCCTCCACTGTTATGCCCAGTTCCCTTGTGTCCCGAGGTTTGGTGCCGCGGATGTTTTGGGGGCTGGTTGGATCTCGAGTCTACTGGAGGCCGGGAAGAGAGGTGTAGGGCTGTGCTTCATGGGACCCTAGAAATGTCAATTCCTACTAAAATAAAACTCGGAGAACTCTAAATCATTCATTATCACCTTTATAATTACTCTTCTAATTAGCTTGACACGCTGCTTCATCAGAATTAATACGACGTCTTGTCGCTGGCACTTCCTATTATTCTGACATTCAACCAGGGAACCGTCCCGGGAACACCAGACGATACTCTCCGGGAGGATCCACTCCGGTGACCGGGGGAATAGAGGCCCGACGGGGCGGCGGCGGCGCGGACAGGTCCGGGAGGGAACGGGGGCGCGCACCCGCCTCCCGCGGCCGTGCCCGCCGCCGCTGATTGGCTGCGGCCCGCGCTGCGTCAGCCCCCTCGCGGCCCTCCGCCAATGGGGGCGGACGGCGGCGGCGGCAAAAGCCCGGGTTTATAATAAACGGCGGGGGGGGCCGCGGCGGCTGTGACGTCACGGGGGGAGTCGCCGCCGCCGAGAGGAGCTCGGTGGGCACGGGCGGGCGCGCTGCAGTGGCCGGTGTCCGCCCCGCTCCGCGCCCGCAACTTCCCGCAACAAAGTTGGGTAGCGGCGAGCCGGCCCGGCGGCGATGTGGGGCTCGGCGGGGGCCCCGCGTTAGCGTCGCCCGCGCCGGCGGTGCGCTGATTGGGGTACCCCAGTTCTGCCCCCCCACATCCCTTCTCCTCCACTCCCGGTGAGACCCCCGCGGCCGCCCACGGGGATGCGGACGCGGCGCTGAACGGTCCGCCATGGAGGGGCCGAGCGGGTCCAGCTTCGGGATAGACACGATCCTGTCGGGTGGCAGCACCGGCAGCCCCGGAGTCATGAACGGAGATTTTCGCCCCCACGGCGACGGCCGGCCGGCGGATTTTAGGAGCCAGGCCACGCCGTCGCCCTGCTCAGAAATCGACACGGTGGGGACGGCGCCCTCGTCGCCCATCTCGGTGAGCATGGAGCACCCCGAGCCGCATCTAGGGGTGGCGGAAAACCTCCCGCCGCCGCCGCACCACCTCCACCTCGGCCCGCACCCGCCGCCACCGCCGCCGAGTTTGCAGCCGTCGCCCCCGCAGCCGCCGCCGCCCCAGCTGGGCTCGGCCAGCTCCGGCCCCAGGACTTCCACATCTTCTTTTTTAATTAAGGACATTTTGGGCGACAGCAAACCGCTGGCGGCGTGTGCACCTTACAGTACCAGCGTCCCCTCTCCCCATCACACTCCTAAGCAGGAGGGCAGCGCGGCCCCGGAGAGCTTCAGGCCCAAACTCGAGCAGGAGGACGGCAAAGCCAAGCTCGACAAGCGCGACGACACGCAGGGGGACATCAAATGCCACGGTAAGTACGGCCCGGCCCTGCTCCGCACCGCCTCGGCCGCCGGTAAAACCGGGGCCGCTGCGTTCGGCCTCATCGGTGTAACGAAAATCGTGGGGAAAATCTGCAGTAGGAGCGCTCGCTCTGCCGGGACCACTCGGTGATCCTCGCTACCGCGGGGATAAGGTCGGTAGGAAATGAAATCGCTTTTTTTTTTTTTTTTTTTTTTTTTTTTTTTTTTTTTTTTTTTTTTTTTTTTTTTTTTTTTTTTTTTTTTTTTTTTTTTTTTTTTTTTTTTTTTCAAATTTAACTTCCCTGTTTTTAGGAAAATAGCCCAAGCAGTGGGATCGCATGGGAAATCAGGCTGTATTTATTTTTAATGCAAATGCGCATAAATGATTCTCCGGCTTTCTAAGAACCGGCTGCTCAGCTGCACTTACTGCCTTCAGCCTTTTCATTTTTACTTATTCGATCTAAAATAAAATTAAGATTAAAAATTCCACTTCCCCAGCAATCAATAACAAATAAACGAAAAAAACAACTTTTAATTAAAAATAAAATAATAATAATAACTACTCGGCCCGCGGTGGGCAGAGGGAGGTTGAAGGGCTTTGTGCGTTTGGCAAAACCCTCACGTTTCCCCTGCGCCGGGATAGAAGGCTTATTTTTCCGTCTTTAATTTTTTTTTTTTTTTAATTAGGGATTTCATACTGATGGGGAAGCCCCCGCCGTGCGGGGTTCGGAAATGAAAATAGCGATGTGTGCATGGGAAGGGGAAGGGAGGAAAAGAGTAAGGAAAGGCGAGCAGGGAGAGGAGATATTTTCCCTTCGGCGTCGGCAGAGCTGCCCTCCCCGCAGGCAGCCCGGTGCAGCCGAAAGGCAACAGGACACATTTTCCTTATTTTGCCGAATTAAGCTATTTTCGCCAGGCTCAGAGCAACGAGGTGCCCGCAAGTGCCGCTCGTTTTGCTCTTCAGCATTAGCATACGAGTGCCCAAACCAGATGTACAGTCTGGTCTGGCCATTTTTGTGTGCACCAACCTCCCCAGTGGGTCAATTAGGGAGATTATTGTTCTTCCTGCGGGGAAGATCAAGAAGCGCCACAAACCCGGGCCCGAATGGAGCAGGATTGACAGATCGATTTCCCGGCGTTTCGGGCCGGGGGGAGAGGGCGAGAAAATAACGAAAGCCCTGTAGTTGGCAAGCGGAGAGTGGAAATCCCGCCGTTCCCTGGACAGGCTCGCTGCCGCCCCCCGCCATACTTGACCGTTCCCCCCGTGCCCCGGAGGAGCCCCCGGGGAGGGGGCGGCGGGGCCCGGTAACCGCGGCGGGGCGGGGCGGGGCGAGGGCCGAGCCGGTGTCCCGCCGGCCCTCACCGCGCTTCGGCTCGCTCGCAGGGACAAAGGAGGAAGGCGATCGGGAGATCAGCAGCAGCCGGGACAGCCCGCCGGTGCGCGCCAAGAAGCCTCGGAAGGCACGGACCGCCTTCTCCGACCACCAGCTCAACCAGCTGGAGCGCAGCTTCGAGCGTCAGAAGTACCTGAGCGTGCAGGACCGCATGGACTTGGCCGCCGCGCTCAACCTCACCGATACGCAGGTCAAAACCTGGTACCAGAACCGGAGGTAAGACGGGCCCAGGCGGGGCGACGGCCCAGGGTCTCCCTGGAGAGCCGGGAGGCGGGCAGGCGCTGCTGGGTTCCTGCCCGCGGTAGCCCAGGGTCGTGCGGGGTGCTCCCGACGGCTGCCTCGCGCCCTTCCCGGCGGCAGGCTGGGGGGTCCAGCCCCTGTCACCGCTGCCGTAATTTTCTGTCTCATTACATACGGTCGCAGCCACCCTAATTCTGTCGCAAACCATTAGTGTCAGCGCGCTGCGATCTAACTGCGTACCACGGTTATTAATTTGGCCGTAGTCACCATATGCATGTGTCGTGGGGTGCGGGGCTGGGACGGGGAACCAGGCACAGCCGGGAGAATCGCACCGTGTGCGGGCCCACGGGGCCAGTGCGCCCCGTCGGGGCCCCGGTGGTGCGGGGCAGCGCAGGGGAGGGGGTTCGCCGCCTGCGGACTCCCGCGAAACCGGGTTAGGTGCCCCATCGTGGCGCCCGCCCTGCAGCCGCCTCTTGCTCCTCCCGGCAGGACGAAGTGGAAGCGGCAGACGGCGGTGGGCCTGGAACTGCTGGCCGAGGCCGGGAACTACTCAGCACTGCAGCGGATGTTCCCCTCGCCTTATTTCTATCACCCCAGCCTGCTGGGCAGCATGGACAGTACGACGGCGGCCGCGGCGGCCGCAGCCATGTACAGCAGCATGTACCGGACTCCCCCCGCGCCGCACCCCCAGCTCCAGCGGCCACTGGTGCCGCGGGTGCTGATCCACGGGCTGGGGCCCGGCGGGCAGCCGGCCCTCAACCCCCTGGCCAACCCCATGCCCGGCACCCCGCACCCTCGGTGAAACGGCACCGCGGTCCCCGCAACGAGCCCTTCCCCTCCCCGTCCCCAAACAAGCCCCAGCACCGCAGAGGAGGAAGCGAGGGGAAGCCGAGGGGCAGGAGCTTCTGCAGGCAGCCACCGGCCACCGAGGGAGGCGATCAGTCAGAGCAGGGACTCTTGAACCGTGAACCCAGAGCCAAGCCCGTAAGTGAAACGACCACACGCGGGGGAAGGCGGGCAGAGCCGCGGGGCGACCCGCCGACCTCGGCTCCTGCGAGGCAGGACTTGGAGCTCGGAGAGAGAGAGGGACGGAGGGGGTGGAGGAGGAGAGGGAGAGGGAGCCCGAGCCCGCCGGAGAGACAAATGGCTGCGGAGGACGGAGGGAATGAGAGCGCCTCGACCCCCGCCCGGCGGAGAAGACCGGGGAAACGGAGAACTTTGCACTGATTTTTCTCATTACCTTTTTTTTTTTTCTTATTGCAAAGTGGCATGCTCCCTAATGCGAACAGAATTGTACAGACCGAGTGCTGAGTGCTATATCATATTTATTATATGTCGTCCAAAAAAAAAGGAGAAAAAATTTCACTTCTATACATTAGTTTAAAATGAATGAACGTGGTTCTTCCCTATCCCTTTTCATGTCTTTTTGGATTCAGTAAAATAAATGCTTAGATGATAAAATATAGATTTTTTTTTGTGACTGAAAAATTACAGGGGAAAGCAAAACAAAAAAGAAATAAACTTTATCTTTTTTTAACAAACGTGAAAATTCAAGGTAGCTAATTTCTCCGTGACAAGAACTCAAGAAATTCAGAGTAGAAAAGGCAGATGCCACTTTTTTATTTTCAATATTATATTGAACACATTTTGAGTTTTAGGCTTGTTGTTTCTTAACTGGCGCTGTTTTTCCCTATCTGTATTTTAAAGGAAAATCAAATCCCCCCTCAGGTGTCGTGTTCCTCGCTGTTATTTTAAGCACCTGGGCAGGGCGGCGGCGGGTAGAGGCTCGGGCCCTTGGGGGCGGGCGCAACGGGACCGTGCAGGACCTGGGGATGTGGCCCCGGCCCGGCAGCTGTCTCCGCAGGGAGCTGGGACAGGCAGTGAGCGCCGGCGGTCGGGGTGAGTAACAGGGGGGGAAAACAGGCAGGGAGGGCAGAGGGGTCCCGGTGGACACGGAGCTCCCGAGCCCCGCTGGCCTTTGAACTTTATTGCTGTGCGTGACCGTCTCACCCGCCCTTTCCCCTGGCAGGCATCTTTCCTGCCGAGTGCTTCCCTTCCCTATGCCGGCCGCTGGGTCCCGCGGGGGCAGAGGGATAGCAGGTTGGGACTGGGGGCTGTGACCCTCCACTGGGCTCCGGGGACGGCTGTGTCCCCAGCCTTTGGAGGTGAACACCCCCCTGTGAAGTTAGAAAGTTATACAGCAATTACCCATAAAACATTCATAAAGTCCCGTATTATCCTCTCCTCTGAGGGTTTGGCGCTTTTTTTTCCTCCTCTCTATTTTTGCTCGTGAGTCCCCTTTCTTTCGAGACAGAAGGAAAAAAAAAAAAAAAAACCAAAAAAAAAAAACCAAAAAAAAACAAAAAACAAAAAAAAAAAAAAAAAAAAAAAAAAAAACCGAAAAAAGGAAAAGAGAAGCCTCCGGGCACGTTTATTTGGGCTTTGCTAATTAGCGAGCGGCTTGCTGATTTCTCTGCTAATAAGTTCGCGCTAAAACCATATTGACCTTTGCCTTGATCTAACAAAAGGGGAGCGGGTCGGGAACGCCCACTTTGGTTTTCGCCCGTGTTGTGGCGGCCGCTGACTATTCCCCCGCGCCTCCTCCGTGGCCCCCAAATACCCCCCGCAGGAATGACCCGGGAGGGGGTCCCTAAGTGGCCAGAGAAATCTGTCTGCCCGCATTGCCACCGAGGTTTTCCCGGGAAACGCACCCTATGCGGGCTGGGGAAGGAGGTAGGAAATTTTGGGCTCGTTGGGGCCTTTTCCTGAGTCTAAACAACGAATCTCTCACGAAAGGAGGCAATGCAGCTGGAAAAGCTAGTCCCAGGTCGTTGTTCGTGATGGCTCGGTTTTGACTGCATAAACTCTCTGAAAAGTAGTGACAACAAGGAAGGAAAGTTCATGCAAAATAGATGTGTCCCCCTCACGAGCAGGGCCGGCCGCGGGGTGCCCACCAGGGCAGGGGCCTCTCAGCGCTTTGGGAACGGCAGAAGGAAGGAGCGAGAGAGGAGAGTGGGAGCGTGGCAGGGCTGTCGGTGCCATGTCGGATAGTGCCTATAGCAGGGGCTACCAGAGGAGGTGGGCGAGGAACCATCACCTCCCCTGAAACGTATTTCCAGACTCAACTGGAAAGTACGTGTAAGCCAGAGGAGGTTTGGAGCAGGAATCGCTCTTTCGCTCTTCCTTTCCCCGTTTGGGAAGTGGGCCTTTGTCCCGCTCCCGATTCGCACCGGAATGGAGCCGACCCGAGGTCAGGCTGCCCCGAGACGGGGAAGGAACGGGCTCCGTTGCTTGTTTAAAATCCCCGGGCCCGCATTTCAGCGCTGCGGCAGGACAAAGAGCCAGGGGGGCGGCGGGCCGGAACGCGCGGGGCCGCCTCCAGTGCGGTGAACGGCGCGGGGCCAGGCATCGGGAGCGGCTTGGCGCCGTTGGCTGCCGTGCCTTCCCAGACGCGCCGGCCGGGTTTCGTCCCCCTTTCCTTCCTCGGACAACTGCTTTCGCCGCGGCACCAGATTTGGTACCGAGCTGCTGAATTCCTGCAGTCCCGGTCCCTCTCAACCCTTCGCCCCTTTTGGGCGAAGGCCTGCTCTCGGCCCTGGAAGTGGTTGTGACCAAACAACCAAACCCCTCTGTTGCCAGACGAACGGGATGGGGTCTCTCAGCCTTAAACAGCGGGAAATACCGGCACCCGCCGGAAAAGAGCTGGCTGTTGGTGCGCTTGGCGTGGAAACAGTCCGTGAGGCTGTAGCAGAGCTGTCAGTACGCGAGGGACCGCGGCAGCCCGCGGGGTGGCCCTTAGCGTTTACTTTCTCCGCACCGGACAGCGGCCCGCAAGGAGCGGAGCAGTTCCGGCCCCTCCAGACGCGGGGACTCCTGCACCTCGCCGGACGGCTGCGGCCCCGCCCGCTCTCAGCACCACGGACAGCTCCGGACGGCGCGGGCGGGCTCGGCCCGCACTCGGCGTTCCGCCCCGCGAGACCGCCCGGCCTTCCAGAGGTCGGGCTCGGCCGGGCAGCACGGGAGTTTCCCGTCACCCCGGACCTCGCGGCCGCCTTTCACGGCGCTTGCCGGCGGGCGATGGTGAAGACAGAGGAGGCTGACACAGCCTCTGGATGCCGAAGCGCCACCTGGCTCGTATCCCCGCTACCCACCGCCCCGGAGAGAGCCTCTGTCCTATCCCGGACCTGGCTCTTCGGCCCTGAGCTGGGGCTGTGTGCTAACTGTTTGAGCGTTGCCTCTGCACCAGCAGGAGGGGTGAAAAGCGAGACGGGGCCGCTCCGCTTCCCCCGTGTCGCATCACTCCGGTTTGACACCGGCGCGGCCGCGGTGAGACCCGGGAGACCCTTTGGACACCCTATGCCCGGTTCCCCTTTGGTTTGTTTCCTCTGGGCCGTGCTATGTGTTTTGCAGGTGGGCACGCCGCGGGAGGCTCCTTCGGGGAACCCGCGGTACGCTCAGGCAGGTTTCGGCGACTCGCTGGGCTCCAGCTCTGGGCTGAGCCGTCCCGGCAGCGGAGCCGCGGGCGGGCTGCTCCGCTGCCCTTGGCTGATGGTCTCTCTTGCAGGATGCAACAGCAGGATGATGTTTAATTACTTCGCTCTCCCGGGGAATTAGCTTGGCCATCGTTAGGGCAGAAAGTGAGAAGGGGAACTCCTCTGGAGTGGGGTACAGAGACAAGGATTGTATTTGCCGCTCCGAGAGTGCTCGCCCTGGCGCCGGTGTGGCAGCTGGGTGCTCGGGAGCTGAATCCGCTTTCCCAGCCGGGCAAGCGAGTCCGGTTCAGACGCTGGGAACCAGTAAGCAGCACCGAATGGAGTTCCTTGCCGTGCCGGTCACCCTGGTTGCATTTACATGCCGCCCGCATGTAACGCCGTTTTGCCTCTCCGGGGCTTGGCTATCCCTCTTGCAGGCTTTGTTGTTTCTTGTTGGGGTGGGGTTTTAACTTTTGTTATTTTCTCCCTTTGCAGAATTTACCTTCCTCCAAATTTACATCACACTTTTGTGCAAATGTGTGTTGTAAGTCACCCTAAGTCCTAATTGTAGCCCACTCGAAAACCCAGAGCGTGGACTGGGTGCAGCTAGGCTGAGCTCACCTGTGGAAAGGACAAAACCCTTTATAATGTAAGAAATTTTCCAAGCCTAGGGGTGGCGGGAATGGGCGGCGAATAACCGTTTCAGGTTGGAATTGCACGTTTTCCCCCTCTTCTATTCTGTCTTGCTGCTAAGCCCACGTCTTCCGCCGGTGACACCACCGGGTTTCTTCCCCAGCAACCGATTTATCGTCGAGCTCCGTCTGCGAGGAAAAGGGGGTACGGGTAACCTGGCCTGTCGGGATGGCCCTTTGCCCTCGTCCCGCGGGAGGAGCCGCCTGCTGTGTTTCGGGGACAGCATCGAAGTGACCCTCACAGTTCATTGGGGGGCATAGCTGACGGGGTCGGAGACCCACCGGGACCGGCGGGGGTCGGGCGGGCGACCCCCGAAGGCGCCCCTCCCCTGTGCCCTCGTTTCACGAAAAAGCCCCGAACTTCCCTCCTCCCTTGGGCTGCTCCCGCCGTCTAACGGGCCGTGCGGCAGCCGGAACCGGTGCCTGTCTCTGCGTGTTTCCAGCCGGAGAGCCGGTCCAGCCAAGCGCCCATCGCATTAAAACTGCCTTTCCATATTCATATGCCCTATTTTTCACAAGTCGCTTCTATTAATGGAAGTGCACAAACGCCAGTCCTCAAAATCTGCAGATTTCAAAGGAACCCAAGTAAGGCGCTTTGCGCTAGCAGCGATAGGTGCTGGACTCGACGGGACCCCCGGGGCGCCCCCGCCATGGCCGCGCCCTCCCCAGGAGCAGCCGCGCTCTGCCGGGGGCGCAGCCGCGGGCCCCTGTTGCGGCGGCTCCCGGCGGCCCCCTCGCTGCTTCGGGCCGTTCCCCGCGGGGGTCGGCTCTCCCGGCCCGGGCACACAAAAGTTGTCCAAGACTGTCTCGTTCCCTCGTCTCTGGGAGCCCATGTAGGGCGCTTTAATTGCCACATTTTCAAACCGAGGTAATGGTGGGACTGTCTTAGTAATTACCTTAATGAGATAACACCTTTCCTTCCCTGAACCTACTCATTATCACGCTTCTTTTTCAAATTCCAACTACAAAGAGCTATACTTGTAAAAAAAAAAAAAAAAAAAAAAAAAGGAAAAAAGGGGGGGGGGGTGAAGAGCTCTGAAATTTGCTGGAGGTCTCGTTCCCTTAAAACAAGCACCTTCCATGGATCTCAGCATATGAACAGAGAACTGTACCCAGTTCTGGGAAAGGTTGCCTAGAAGTAAACTAAACATCTGGGGTACCCCTTAATTATTCTTGGTAGGTGTCTTTAGTTTGACCTGTAGGGATGTGAGGGTGTCAAAGTGATGAATTTTAAGATGTTGGGCTGTGAAGACGTGCAGTGGCAAGACTGATGGGTTTAGGAAGGGAATGGTAACAAGGTTAGCTGCATGTGAAGTGTGAATTGAGATTTTTGCAAAGAGACTGTGATTGCAGATGGGCATAATGTTGTACCCTTGCATGAAATCTTGCTATTATTGTATAATGGTCAGACAGAGTGTGAAATGACTTATTACTTTACTTT